TTTTTATGAAACCATAAAAATAATATTTTGTCTGCTGGGATAAAATTATCATTCTTTTCCTTTTCAGCTGGCATCAAGGAGGGGCAAATAACTCTGAGGAAGAAAGTGGTGTTCTATCAGAGAAGCAGATTAGGGAGTGTGAAAGGCCTGCACTCTCTGCAGCTGAATTCATAATGCTTGACAACAGATCTAGTGAGGCAGGTCTTTGATCTCGAGTCAAAATACCCCATTGTTAAACCATCCCAGTTCTGTAGCCAACAGCACAATATCTGGGATTTGCCTCATGCTGCACCAGGTATCCATCTCTCATCATCCATTGAAATCCTTATTATCCACCTCTGGATTCAAACTCCAGTGGCAGTCTGGCTCCAAATCCATGATCACATCTTGCTGGGTATTGTGATCAGAGTTGAATTTTGCAGCTCCTTTCATGATAATCTAAACCAAGCATTGTGTCTGTCTTTCCTTGCTGAATTTTAGAATGCAAACAGTCTTGATTCTACACTTTTATCTCTTTGAGAAGAGCCACTTTGTGGGAAAGAAAATAATTTTTCTATGTCCTTTATGTTCCCTTCCCCAAGACTCTTCATTCACAGACATATCCCAAACTGAAAATAACTCAGTGCTCCAGAGAAAAATGTTGGCTTCATCTCCTGGGACACGGCAACTTCCTGATGTTTTGCCTCTCAGGGTGGGTGTAATGAAAACTAAGTGTTGAAGAGCTGCATTATTCTCTGTTGACATCCTTGATGATGATTGTTTACCTCCTTGTCTTGGCATGGGCAGTGTTTGTGCCTCCAGTGATGATCTGGCTTCTGTAAATTCAGTGCCTGAATTTGAGGAAGTCTTCCAAATTCTCGTGTCCTTATTAAAACTCTTTCAAACCACTTCAGTCAGAAAAACCACACTGTAGATTTTGTGCAGCTGTATTTTTGTTTTAAATTTTATTTCTGGATTTCTGAAAAGTAAAGAAGGAAAGGGAAACTGCTTAGGGCAAAACTACAGGTCAGTCTTTTGGTTTCCAACAGGAGTTGAGCTAATTCCACCTTCTTGCTGTAGAGCCCACTGGGTCTGAAGTGATCCCAGCACTTCATGTGACTCAGTTTCTTCACGGGGACAGTGAATTTTATTTCTGTAGAGAGCCCTTGTGCTTTTCTCTGTAAAAATGGCTTCTCAATGACCAATTAAAGCAGCTGTGTTCTCTTTGCTGTAGGAGATATCTTGCATTTTTTATTCCTAAGAGGCAGTCACTAGAGCACAGTAGGGAAGTTGGAGTTTTTCTTATTCCTTTTGCTGCTTTAGGGGCCATAGGGTTAATTTAGCAGAGGATTCTTATCTCCAAGCTGTAGCAATGTATGTTCTTGGCATAATGCATCAGCTGAGTGGCATCAACAAAGAGATTTAAGCAGATAGACAGAAAGATAAATATCTCTTTGTTCTGCCTGGTAAGCAGTGCATTGCTCATCATATTTCAGGTTGACTGTAATTCATTTTTGTGATTAAATACACTGCACGTTTTCCAGTGGTAGCCGTGTTCTTGGCAAACACTCAAATGAGACAGGATTGCAAAGAGGGCTTCAGAAATGTCCACAATAGCACTGGTGGTCGTGAGGCTTTCATATCCTAGACAGAAAACCTGACTTTAGGCCCTCACCACAGAATGAGAATTCTGTCAAGACTGGGGATTTCTTTCTAGTGAGATCCCCTTGCTAATTTAGATGTAACTTTAACCATTTGAGGCTTTTGCTTGTTGCCTGGAGACTCAGATATTTCTGGTGAACTGCATAGGTGATTCAGATCCCATGTTTTGAGCTGCAGAGCTCAAACTTTCACTGACGAGCAGCACTGCCCTGGAAGCCACAAATGGAGGGGCAGGTCTTGAAATGTGAGAAACAAAGAAGGCATTAAATGTTATCCTTTCACCCCAGTCTCATCAGGCAAAAGTGAAACTCTTGCAAAGAAAATAATATTCCAGAGACAGGTTTGGGGTGCTGGTGAAGACAGTGCTCTCCTGTCAGAGATGGCAGAATAAGGTTAGGAAGACAGACTGTCACAGGGGAAGAGTCAAAGATTATTCAGACAGATCTGATCTAATAATTAGTTTAGTTTTAATCAAGTATGTAAAATATTTAATGAGTACAAATGGATTGGAGGGCAATATTCTATTTACTATACTTAAGGTTAGAATAGGATACAAAGATGAGCATGTAAGTTCATTCTATCTTAAATGTCACACTCATGCAAAAAAAGGCACTTACCAGCCCATCCATGTCTGGTGTCAGGCAAGGGATCCCTCAGCCTTGAGGAGCAACCCTGGGAGCTGTCCCTGCTCAAGGGGAGGTCAATGCCACACATCCAGCTGCTGCAGAGGGAGAGTTCATCTGATGGCTCCAGATATGGGGAACTTAAAGTGGTTGATGTATAGTCAGACTTTTGCTGTTAATGCAGCTTTGGCCACTGATCAGCACAGTCTTTAGCCAAAACAGGGTTTTTTGGGTTTGGTGCTGGATTCTCACTGATGGTCTCACAAGACAGGAATCCCTTCAGTTCACCCAAAACAGGAAGCATCACCCCTGGGCACCTCTGAAATCTGCATGGCAGGAAAACTTCCATTTCCTCTGGCCGCTGACCATAACTAGAGAGAGGGAAAGGGCCTAACTAAATATCAGGAAGAGGGTCAAAAGACAGGACATTTTGCCACTTGCCACAAAGATCACACACACTCGCTCCAGGAGGGGTGGTTCTTGCTGCCTGCAAATCTGTGCAGTGCTGCTTGTACCTGTATGATTCATTTCCACCATCTGTATTTGTGCCAAAATATAGATAGATACCCATGCTGGTGCATCCCTAGATGGAGAGACCAACAGACACAGGCAGGTGGGGAGGCCTCCTTTTTCCATTCTGCCTTCTGGAGATCTTGGCATACTTCCTCTTTCTTTTATTCACTACTTTATTGACTATAGAAATGAAAAAAATGAAAGAAAAAAAGAAAGAAAAAACCACTGACAGCACAGGAGAGCAGAGAAGAATCAATGAAATCAGACAGGAGAAACAAAATGAATGTGTTTTTTGCCCCTTCAGCAATTAATTCTCATTGTTTCTGATCAAAAGGTTCAGGGAAATCTAGTCCTGCCTCTCCATCTCTTTCTCACAGAATAGACCATCTCAACTTCATTTTGAAAAGAGACTGTTTTGATCCTGAAAGTACTACAGAAGTACTACAGAAAACATGTGAGGAAACAGCAAAATTATTCTGCTCACCTTCCTCTATGCTTTTCAGCAAGTGTTAAAACTAAAGCATAGGACAGTTGTGTGTTCTGGTCCCTATGGAACTGAGGTTCAAATGTGGAAATCTGTCTTAAAAAATCACAGACATACTTTGAGACAATTTTTTTTTTTTTCCAACAAATTCCCCAAGAAGCTCTACAGACAGTGCTTCTCAGTTTTTCCTTCTTCCTATTGACATTGACACAGAAAGTTTAAACTTCAAGCTCTGTGTGCTAGAGGCTATAAAAACCTAGATCTAGTCCAATTTCATCTGTCCCTGAACAGCTCAGGGAAGCTCTGAGTCTGATCTAAATTGTCCCTACCTTATGCTCCCCAACTCTGTTCTTGTCATGTTTCATACACTTATTGACTTTTACAGAGCTTCCTGAGTAATTCTTCAAAGAAGATTGACTTATTTAAGGGGTTAGTCATCCTGCAGGTTAGTAAACATGACAGCTGGTTGAGGATTAACAGGAAATCATGAATAAAATCATTGGGATGGATAAGGGATTCTCAAGCAATTAAAGTTGTCTTGCAGAGAGTCAAATAGGAAGCAGAAATAGAGAGTGAAGGTCAGAGGAGGAGGGTGACCTTCTCCCTGCTGACAACCACTGAGCCTCAGAATGCAGAGTTAGTGCAGGTGGTTACCAGCAAGGGGGGGCAGTGCTAGAGAGCTGCAGACCAAGAGCTATGTAGGACTGGAATTGCTGTGGGACCAGCAGGTCAGTGCAGGGCCATGACAGCAGGGTGATGTGAGGATGCAGAGCAGCATTAAAATGAGTTGACATCCTGGGCTGGAGGTGCTGGTTGGTACCAGTGGTAGAGAAAATTGCAGATAGTAATTTTTTAACCCTGCCAGGTAGCAGGAAAAACTCTCCAATCCCTTCTCCAGGTAAGGGTTTGCTAGTCTTCTGCAAGGGGCAGACAGAGACAACTTCAGGTGACTTCTTTCCCCTTTCCAATGTCTCCACCTACTTTGTCACTGGGATTGAGGTTTGCTGCCCATGCTTCTTCCTGCTTATTCCTTCCATGGCTTCTCTTCTTGCCGATTTTCTTCAGGCAGCATCTTTCTATTCTCTCACTTAACCTCTAGCTGCTTCTCCTGCCCCATGAATCCCCACTGATGAATTTAAAGTTCCAGGTGTGAGGATCTGGCACTTTGTTTAATGAAGTGGAAATGGATTGGAGCCCACTAGCTCTGGTACCAAGAGCCATCTGCTGTGAGCTGCAAGTGCTGATTGCTCTTCAGAGAGCTGAGCTCCTGCCTTACATATGCTACCTGCCCCCAGTTGATTTCTGAGATCCTGACAGCTTTTAATGCGTGCCACAGCGAGGAATGTCAGGACCAGTCAAGAAAATTTAGGCAGGGTTGGTTTAAAGGGAGGGAGCCTGGGGTCTGGTGTGGATTCATGTTTGTCCTGAGGGCCAGGGCAAGGCATGCAGTAAGTGAAGGGATGGGTTTTAGAAACTCAGCAGGATTTGTATTATATCACAAACTCTTATAAATCTTATTTTTTTAAAATATTTTTTGTAATTTTCCTGCCCATGCAGTAAAGCCTTTAAACATTATCTGAATGTGACCTTTAAAATCTTGGAGCCAGGAAGCAACAGAAAAGGAACCCAAACTGCTATTGCTGGTGTTGGTGTTTTGTTAATTTTTAAATACTGTGGGTTCCCAGTATCATTTGATTCATGGCTTTCATTATACAGGTATTTGTGGGAATACATTTAGAAGTTAAACATAATTTCTCTGGCTGTGACAGACCTGTACAGCCACTAGGTTTTTGAATTTGTTGATCTCAGCAAGGTGTTCTCTCAGGACTGAAGTGCAGCACTATGGTGAAGATTTTGCTGTTGATTACTCTTACTTTATTCTGTTTTTCTCACTCCTCAGGAGCTTTGGTAATTTCAGGAAGTCTTGTGGTGCTGCAACTGGAATTAGGTTTATTAGCATTTGGAAGGAGATAGATTTCCAGACAGGACACTGATGTGGTTTTTTAGGTGTTTTTTTTTTTTTTATGTAATGTTCCAAGAAGATAGGCCATGTTTAGCAAACAGTGTCTTAAATTTTAAAAAAATTGAATTTTTTTTTTTTTTTTGAACTGAGACCCTTAAGCCAGAATGAGCAGGTGTTAAAGTCTGAGCTCAAGCACTGAGTAGCCACAATTACCAAACAGGAAGGAGTTTAATTCAGCCTTTTCTCTCCTTTTCAGAGTCAAACAGCCGCCGGGCAGTGAACAGAGGCTACCTGGGTGAATTGCTGAGGCTCTACCAGGACTGGCATCGCAATGATGTCTCCAACAACTACATTGACATTCGTAGGGGTCTCCTGCTCTGCCTAAAGTACATCACCAACATCCAGCTGGGCAGGGAGATGTTCCTTGGTTCCCGGGGAATGGAGATTCTTTTCACAAGTGTGCAGGTAAATGGTGCTTTTTGTGTTTAAATGAGCTGGTTAGGGCTGGGTTCTACATCCCACTGCAGGAAATTCCATCATTATACAAATTCAGGATAGGACATATAAATGAAAAAACTGATTACATTAAGATCTCTTGACTTTTACACAGTCAGTAGTATAGAAAAGCTGATATGTTGCAGTTTAAAACAATTCTTAATTCCTATGAGACACATGGGAATTCTAGTGAATGCTTTTAGTACTTCCTTTCTTTCCCTGTACATCCTGCTGCCTGCTTGGACTTCTCTTGAAGAATTATGCAATATCTCTATAGTGGAATTGCTTAGGTCTTTTGTGAGATTTTCCTTTACAATAACCAGATAATTCCACTCAATCAGCCTTTTAAACAAAATGCTCATTTAGCTAAGCCTTTCCTAATGAGAAACATCCATCGACAGTTTTTCAGGAGATTAAATTTTAAACTTGTGAAACATTAATGTGAGTTCAAGAAAGATGCCATGGTCCTGCAGATGGGATGCCTATAAGGTATAGAGAGGGCAGGCACAGAACAGTGAGGGTTTCCTCAGTCTCAGCAAAATGCTTCCTTAGCTTGCTTTGAACTTAGAGAAAACCACCTGTGTGATTCCATACGAGTGTTTCCATTGTTGTTCTTACTGGCTATGCATTATCTCACTCTAGAACCATCAGAAAGAAAAGCTTGTCTCCTTCTTCCTTAAAAAAATCCATTGCCTTATGATTCAGTGTGTTTATTTCTTCCCCCTTTCCATCACTGTCATGAGGGATTCTTCTGTGAGTCATTTCTAACCAGCAGTGTATGGGAGACTTCTGGAATGTTTCAATTCACTTTCCTCATGAAGAATTGACCTTTTCTTTAGGTAGGATGAGGTGGCCAGAGTCAGCAGACCTCCCAAGGGATTATGGCCTCTGTTAATGAGAAGTCCCCGGTCTGAAGAAAGGTGAATGGGGTGGATGGAAACAGCTCCTTCCCTCTCAAGAGCCCCCCACAGCCCATGAAGCTTTCTGAGCTAACACCTCCTGATAGCTCAGCCTGCAGCAGCTCCATGGCAAGTGTGAATGTGGGATCACCTTGGGTGCACAACCAGGAAATGACATACTAAGGCTCCAGTAAACACTGATAATGCTAAACCTTCCAAAGGTTAGAAGTGGAGTGGAAATGACAGCTTCAGGGGCCTCCAGTTTGCTTTTTTCCCCAGCCTGTGCTATTAGGGAGACCTTGATCAAGAAATAACCAAGGTTAATATATTCAAAGCTCAATATTCCCTCAGTGCTTCTTTGGGATATTGTCAGTCTTGCAGTGTCTCTCCAAGACATGAAGTGTTGGCAGGAGTCTGGCAGCCCTAGGAGATCTCACTCATGCTCTTCCCTATCTAACCTGAGGTTGAGGCTGCTGCTGCCATGAAGATCTTCATTATTTTAATGAAAGATGGGAAATCTTGTCTCCTGAGATGGACAACAGGCTGCAGCAAGAAAGAGAGATGAAGACAGGACAAGACAAACAACCCCTAATTGGGAAAACAAGGACTTTTTGTGTGTGGACAGTATTTTAGTGCCTTTAGGGAATCCACTGACTCTGGTGATTAACCTGGATCAAACTGAGCAGCTAATGAGATTTTTAAGGTGTTAAAATCTGGCTAGAAAAGTTCTGCTGAAACTTTTTAAGTGTTTGGTTTGTTGGTTGGCTTTTTTTCCTTTTGCACACATATTTATTAAAATGAAAACCGTTTTGCCAAGATGGGTTTGTTTTAAACTCCAGTGGAAATTTGATTTACAAGGCTGGTTTTCAAATGAAACCTTTCTGGCTGCCTATTGTCTGGGCTGATGGACAGATGAAATACCTGAGCTTTTAATAGCCCTTAAGCTTATTTCTTTACAGGAGGAGCCAATAGTTCAAAAACTGTCACCTCACATAGATTAGAAGTGACTGCTACTCAATTTGAGGATAGTTTAGGGATATTTTAGGGGAATTTAGAGATGTTTTGAATTCTACTCCTACCTGGAATAAAAAAAAAAAATTATAGATAATGAAATCATTCATGGAAAGGAAGTACTTTCTGTTCCCATTCCCTTTTCCTAGCTGCACTTAGATTTTCCTGACAGTTAAATGGTATATTCACATTAGCACTGTCTGACAGAGCTGCCTACCCTGAGACAAGAAAACAGGTTTGTATGTGCTTTAGGAGATACTGCTACATGGAATGTTATCTTGATATTTTATCACTTTTCCATCTGGTTTCTTAAGCTTGCCTTGTTTCTCTTCAGCCTTTCCTACTACTCTGGGATAATATTATCCTATATTCCACTCTCTGTTTGCCAGTAGGAGCATCAATCAGCATCACTATCTTTTGTCTTACTGTCATATTGAAACCTCCTTTTTTTCCGCTATATATCACATATCATAATATCTGTTCTATTCCAGATTCAGTGGAGAAAAGATTGTATGGAGATTAAAAAGCAGATCTGAATCCAGGTTAGCTTTACATGAGTTTTCTGAGCTAAGGATTTACTCTTTCCTCATTCACATTATCCCACCATAAAATAAATGGGACAGCTTAAATAGAGCAATCTCCTGTCTGCTTTCCAGGTGTCAGTAAAAAGGACTTTTCCAATACACTGATGTAATAATTTTCAGCTATTTGTAAACAGTGTTACTTTAGAATCTGAGAGCACTTTATGAGCAGTAATGAAAACAGTCCCACAAATTCCCTCTAAGGTATCTGAAGGCTTGTTTGCACTTGTGAGCTAATTTGCTGTACAGAAAAATATGACTTCCAAAGAGCTTCACTGAGTAACTCCATGTGTTGAAGTTCATTGTCTGGATGAACATGCCTCAGTCTTGACTATTTAAATTCACTTGGCCATGAATTAAGATGGCTGTCCCAAGGCAGGCAATTAAAGTTCTGCATTCACTGTTTGAGCAAAAACAGATCAGTTTTAGTAAACTAAACTAGTAGACTGTTGAGAATATTAGCCTGTTCCCACATGTAGACAAACTTTCCTAATCTTTCCTTTAATAACAAGCAAACAAAGGCGACCATATGAAGGAGTGAATAAATTGAAACAGAAATAGAAATCAGTTCTCCTTGGTGTTTGCTCTACCCATAATAAAACTTTCCTGAGAGATGCTTTCATAATTCTCTTTTCTCTCCCCCTAGTTCCAAACAGCCAGACAACCAGAAATACATATTAAAATTCTTGTAGTGAGTCTTGTAAGCATGTCAGCTTTAGATGATTTTTTTCTAGCCTCCCTACAGGAATCCTGGTTAATCCCACTGAATCGTATAATGCCGTTCAATCATACATGAGAAAACAGTAAAATCCTCCCCAACCAAAAGAACCCCCATACAGCATTTTCTGGTTCCTGATTATAACCAAGTACTTTATCACAGAATCATTTAGATTAGAAAAGGCCTTTAAGATTGAATCCATTAACCCAGCATGCTCAAGTCCACCACTAAACAGTGTCACCTTTTCCTAGAAGTAGATGAGGTTGCTCGGGCAGGACCTGTGATCCAATGGTCATTTTATGTTCTTTTTTAACATTCTTCTGGCCCTCTGCCTGGTTCTGCTGAATATTTGGGTTGTCTGTTTTTTTTTTTGTTTTTTTTTNCCAAATGCTGAGTGTGGGCTGTCAGACAATGACACAAAATATCTGTTTTCCCCTCTCGGTTGTTCCATTTTATCTCTACCGCAGGGATGCAAAATTATGAAATGGTAGTAGAATGTATTGCAATAGTTCTCTTTTGCCTTGTAGCATATTCACGCTGCTTATTTAAGTTGCATTCCTGTTCTGATGAGCTCAGTCTTTGTTCCAAACCACTGAAGAAAACATGCTGAGAGGCAGAGTGAAAATTGTGAATTTGGGTAGAATACTACACTTAAGACTCAATCTCTCTGACAGAGGCTGTGCTTTGGATGTGCTGTATTTGGCAAATCCAAGGGCTGGGTTTTCTGAGAATTGCACCCATTGGTGTTAAAGAACTTTGCCTTTGTGCAGCATTATCATTCCTTTATCTAAACTCCCTGTTATATTGAAGACATACACTGTGATGTATGAAGATGTACATAATTTCTGTGATGTCTCAGGGGGTCTTTCTTTAGTTCTGTGGGGATTTTGGTTTGTTTTCTTAGCAACAAAAGTCTGAGGAGCTCACTTGCACAACAGCACAACAAAAATACAAAATATTCTGTGTCTTCAAAGTATACCTGAGCTCTAAAAAAATCTTTACATGTCTATTTCCTCTTCTGGATTATAGCAGTAGAAATCGTGGGATCCTGCAGTTATTAATTATTTTATGATTAGGTAATATATAATGATCTTTCAGAATAGCTCTTGGGCCTAATGATTTAACCACAGAGAACAGTGGCAGTGTATTCTCTTTGAGAATACATTGTGTACCCTGAATACACTGAAATAGTGGTGTTAACTCTGTTATTTTATCTCTGTGAATTTTGGCATGATGACTCCAGATATAGATGTGCTGAAGGTGCAGAAACACAGATTTTGGCATGCTTTGGCAGCCAAGACATACCCGTAGGCTCCACAAAGCATTTTTTAATCCATATTAAAAACCATATTGCTTCAGTGCTACTGTATCCTGTGTTCACTTCCTTTATGTACCTTGGCTCCTGGTCTTGGAGCAGAGCTCGAGGTGCTGTGCAGGGATGGAAGTCTCCTGAGGTCCATGCTAGCCTGTATGTCTGTAAGAGCTGGACTGCAGGAACCTGAGGTTTTGCTGTTCCAGTTGTGTTTTAGTGACAAAAAAGAAGGGGAAATAATGTGAGCAGTATGAAGTAACATACGTCCAGAACGTTCACATGATTTTCAGGTACAGTCACAATGCAGTTTCCTTTATTTGTGAATATTCCAGAATTTAAGAAATACTTGAAAAGGAGTGTTGTAAAGTGATAGCAAGACAAGACTATTTCAGGAGTAAACCTGTAAATTTTATAGGACTGGAAAACCAATATTATGACGTTTTGCTGATGTTTATGGGAGTAGCTAATGAGTGGTAAAGGGAATTATGTTCTCACTCTGGGAGATTATGACAGGGAGGATTGTTGTAAAAGACTATTCTTAATGTAGTTCTCTTTTGTTTCCTAGGACTGTTTATCTTGTAAAAATCTGGATCCTATCATAACTGCTGTGACTCATATTCTGAGAAAGTGCTACCCCAAGGAGCATCTGCCTGTGGTGACTGTAAGAAGTTCCTATTCCTTCCCTCTTCCTGGGAATGCCAGTGCTGAACCTCCATGTGAGGGATCTGAAGGTAAATGGCTAAAGGGTGAGTTCAGAAGGAGGAAAAGGAGCATGACATGAGAATTAACTGTGGGATTTGGGGAAGGGAGACTTGGCATAATCCTGAGGTTTACAGTTAGAATTAATCTGATAACCTACAATGTCACTCAGTAGGGAAGAAATTACTCCCAGAGCTTCTTGAAGCTGCAAGAGTCCATTTGGAGAATAAATGAGAGAAGATGGAAAAGGAAAAAAAAAACTGTTCTATTATCCAAAAAATAAAGGAGAAGAGTGGGTATAGCAGAGGCTGGAGATTGCTCCCCAGTGGGAGACAGAGACATTATTGTGCCTGTGTATTTGCTGCTTGGGGGGTAAAAACTGCCCTGCATCTTTTTCAGTAAAGAATTGCAAGAATTATTATCCTTTTCCATTTCTAAAGTAAAAGCAGATAGCAGTCATGCTGCATGAGTAAAAGATGGGAGCTCTTGCTGGAAAGGCAGGACAGCTACTCTGCAGAAAAGGCTCCATGATACACAGAGCAATTTTTGCTACATTCAATTTTGTGTGGAAGATGCTGAAATACTATAACAATCATAGCAGTAAAACACCCTAATCTAGATAATACAGATTAAGAGCATCCTGTAATATCATTGCAGCCAAGCAGAAAATCTCTGTATTGCTTTGTAAAATGAGTTGGATCCATATCATAGGGACATTTGTCATGGTTTTGAAAGGCAGCACTTGAGTCCAAGAGAACAGAGCTTTAAAAACTGGCTGAATTAGTGCCAAATTCATTTATATGAGATTAACAAATGGGATTTGCTTTAATCAGGGTTGTGGTGGGCTGTGGACTGTGTGGCACACATAGAAGAATTTACACATACTTCTCTGTGGGGTATGAGAGGGATATTACTTTTTCTCCTTCCTACTTCTGCAGGTGGTGACAGTGAAAGTGAAGGAGAGGAAGAGGCTGAAAATGACTGGGATAATGAGGATGTGGAGAGTAAAGAGGAAGTAGGTATACAAGGCGTAGTTCCCATAATTATCTACATACTAGAAAATAAAACATTTTGTTGTCCATTTTGACACCCTGAAAGACTTTCTAAGCAGAGAATGTAGATGTGCCTGTGGTCCCACATGAACACACTACATGGACAATAGGAGGATACTTGAAAAAAGGAAAGGAGAATGCACTGATTTTCACTAAAAATGTCCTGCATCTATTCTATTCATTTCATGCTTGTCACCCAGGGTGGAGGAGGTTTGGTGACTTCTCTATTCCTCCAGAGACTGCTCAGTATCACATCCACAGTCAGGGAGAAATGGTGGATCTTTGATCTGCTTGGCATATGCCAGGAAAATGGCATTTAGGGAAAATAGATTTATCATCTAGGAAAGGCTAACCCTCTCTTTATTCCCATATCAGAGCATATTTGGGCTGTGCACCTACCCTGAGGAAAAGGCTAGTTATTTTAAGCCACAGCTGGTGCATTTGAACCTATATTCCCTCTTTATTTGCTGCTGCACAGAGACAAATAATACAATGAATTATTCAATATTTCTCTGAATTCTCTCTTAGCACTCTCCCTGCAGTGGCCTAACTGGCAAAAAAAAAAACTTCTACCAGCTGAGGATGAGGGTGCAAACTTTTTGTTGTGAAAATACAAACTAGCTCATATGCAAATGTGAAGTAGTGGATGCTGCTAATAAGTCTTATCCACATAAAGTGTCTTGGGAAAGCAAATGAAAGAAATGATGTTGCAAATACAGCCTAATTAGAAATGATCGAGACTTCTGTGAAAAAGACTTGCCCTGTCTTTTTCTCCTCTAATATTAAACTGATGTCACCCAGTAAAAAAAGGAAGTTAAAAAAAACCCCACACATTATCTGAGTGTCCTAACTTGCCCCTGTCTGGCTGTTTTTATCTGACTATTAGAGCTCGTCAAGATGCTCATTAGGAATAAGGCTCATAGTGGATTTATCTCCTTCTTTAATTAGTTATTCATTCAGTAACAACTCCTCGATGCTTCTGAACTAATTCATTATTCATAAGGATTTACCAAGTAGATGTAAGCAGTTTTGGGGTTGTCTTTTTTTTTTTTTTTTTTTTTTTTTTTTTTTTTTTTTTTTTTTTTTTTTTTTTTTTTTTTTTTTTGCCTAAGAGCTTTTTCTGAATATGAGTTTTAAATACTGTTTGTCTGGTTTGCTGGTCATATATCTCCTATAAAAAAGCCTTGCTAAAGGGAAGGCAAGCAGGGAATGGATAATGAACTTTCAGCTTAACCCCATTTTTATTCTGTGTAAGATCTTTTGCACAATGTTTGCTGGTATTGATGTGATTTGCAAACATTTTCACAGCTACATAACACATATCCATGCATGCTAGCAACACCAACCAAACTGAAACCTGGCTCTACCCTTCCATCAGGAACTGTTCAGAGAGTTCTATGAAAATAAACATCACCACATCAACCATCTATTCTTTTCCATCCAAAATTTGAAGCTTCTTATGCATCAGTATGCTCTCAGTGGCAAATCCTTTCCAACTGACCTCGTGCTCCTGGCAGGTCTTCACTGCCTTTTCATCTCAGCCCAAACAACACTTCAGACTCTGCTTTGTGACCCAAGTGTAGCTCAGGGTTTGAAATGCTGTGGGCACTGGTGCATACAGGCAATTTTACTTTTTTCTTTTTATAACAGCTTTGGAAATGAATCTGTTTGTCTGGAGCAAATAATTTCTTTGATGGCATTTGGTGGGACCACAGACATGTTGAATTATTTGAATATTGCTGTAATGTAATGCCCAGTCATGAATGCCATGTTTCCATTCTTTCCTCTTGCTCCAACTTTTCCTGGTGTGGTTTTTTTGTTGTTGTTGTTTTCTTTTTTTTCTTTTTGTAATGTAGTAGCTGAATGCTTGACACAGTTTGGCTTTGGTTCTCACATCTGATATGGGTGAGGCTGCACATTAATGCACATCAGCCCTCTACTGTGAAAGTTTCAGATACTGTTTTTATCCTCAATTCACTGATGGTTGAGATCATCTCATGGGGCAGGTGTAATACATGTGCTTTTCTACTTCTGCTTGTGTAGGACTGTGACTTGGAGACAGATGTGAATAAATTGAGGTCAAAGACAGTGCTTGACCAGCCAGAGCAAGAGCTTGAAAAATATGAAGCTCTGTGTGCAGAACTTTTCCAGAATTTTCAGGTATGGTTATAGTGCAGTTTCCTTTATTTGTGAATATTCCAGAATTTAAGAAATATCTGAAAGGGAGTATTGACAAGTAATAGCTAGACAAAGCTATTTTAAAGGTGAATTTGTAAGTATTACAGGACTGGAAAGCCAAAGATTATGACTTTTTGCAGTAGTTTATTGGTGCGAATCATGAATGATGAAAGGAATGTTTGATGCACATTTGTCTGGGTGTAGATTAAGTAAGCACAATTGAATCAATTGCCACATGAGAAATCTGTCAGATAATTTGTATCCTTGCTGGCAATTTCAACAGCAATATCAAAATCAGAATGAGATGTGAAAAGCAAATACTGTCAACTAGTGGTTTGAAGGAAGAGGAGATTGCACTGCCACTGAGTGAAATGAACAGTTCAAGTAATTTTTTTCTAGTGATGCTTGGAGCAAAAAACAAAACAAAAAAAAAAAAAAACCAAAAAAAGGAATATTGCGCTCATTACAAGTTTTAGAATTTAGGGGGGCTGAAAAACCTGTTTCGTATATGAATCTGAAGAAAATCACTGGATTAATATATCTCATGTACACAGAATATTGTGATACTGATTGTGACCATAAGTAGCCAAATGGGATTAAATCATACTCCTGCATGGATGGAGTGGAGTTTTGCATGAGAGATTGGCTACCTTTATGCTCCTGTAACATTTATATAAATATATATATATATATATATATCTTCCCTTCTTTGTTTGAATGATTAGTTTTGGTTTAGTCATTTGGGTGAGTCATCTCCAATCAGATCCTTTTGGTTTCTGAGGATTTCTGTCGAAACAGCTTTGTGGATAGAGAAATGCTGGCAGGTGCTTCATGCACTGATTTTGCTCTGGCTGTTTTATTGGTTGAGTACAGTTTTGGGAGATGTGTAAATATTTCCTCTTTTCCTCCTTGAAAGGTTTCCTCTGAAAGGAGGCACAATCTGTCTGTAGCTTCTTTTAATTTCTTCTGCTTTTTAAATTTAAAGGAGCTTGAATTTGAGTCTGAGGAAAAGAAGAGCTTGGAGGACAGGACTGAGAGTCTTCCCTCTGCTCCCTCTCATTTCATTCCAAGTGCTACTTCTGTGAAGCATCCAAACTGCAGATGGAGAAACCAAAGTGTCACAGAGATGGGACCAGATCCAGAACAGGATTTCAAAGTCCCATTGCAGAGCTGGAGAAAGGAGGAGCAATGCATATGGGATAAGAGTGATGAACAGAGAGACATTGCTGAAGAAGCCCAGGTTAAAGACTTCTGTGGGGAGGAAGATCCAGCCAGGAGTCATGTGTTTGCTTTGTGCTCTCTCCTAAAAGATGCTGCTTGGTACAAAAAAATGTTTTACCCTCATTGTGAGGCCTTGATCAATCCTAGTCCTGAAGGGACGCTGGAGAACTCCGATATAGTTAGACACCTTCTGGAGAAACACCAAGGGGATATCCCATTCCACAATCCTTGTTTCTATGCAGCCAGGGCCAAATGTGTGAAGTCCATCCCAGGCTACAGAGAGCTGGCATTCCCGGATTTCTGGGGTCACCAACCACCCCCTTACAGCAAGCCTGTGTTGGAGCGCAAGCATGGGGTCCAAAGGTGATTGTGCTTTAATGGAGTGACCACGTTGAGAGCTCTTGGGCTCAAAACTGGCTTATGTAGGTGCTGGCTCTAACAGGAAGTTATTGAACAACTTTTTTTCTACCCTAATATTTGCCTCAATTGATCGATAAATTCATCAATATACCTAAATTTGTAAGCTGGGTTGTGAATCTAAGATGGGTTGTGAACTTTGTTAGAACACCAATGAGAACAAGTCCATTTTAGAGATGGAGAAGTCTCTGTGTCCTTGTGAGATGTTTTTACCTTCAATATTACTATTTATTCAGCCACCTTTAGTGCTTGCAGCATTGGTCCCAGCCAACTCTTTCAAGGAAAATTCCATCTTGCCCTTTCAGAAAGGACTTGTCATTATTTAGCTGCTCAGATGAGTGAGAAGCTGTGTTCTGAAGTTGTGCTGGGAGAGAAAGCTCTTATAACTACATTTTTTTGCCTTGACATAGGCTTATATGCAATGACTATATTTCTTTTTAGGGGATTATTAGCAGGCAGTAAAGATCGTGAATTCTATGCTAAACTTTAGAGTTGATCAACTAATGGCATTTGTTAAAACCACTGATTTGTGATTGCTAAGAGAGTAACTCTTCCTGCAGTAAATATATAAGCTAGAAATCTTATTTAGAGAGAAAATTACTCTACCATCTTCTTGCACTCGTGCTCTAAAAGCTCTGCATTTATGGCTACAACAACATGTGTAACTGTACAGCTGAAATGGGACTAATCATATCATGCTTCAAGGCATAATATGATTGCTTCAAAGGTCAAGAAGAAAATCTGGTATTCCACATTTGATCATCTTCAGGGATCAGAGAAGCTCTATTTAATAATGAGTAGAAATCAGCTTGACTTATATTCAATATTCACTGTGAATCAGACTAGTAGGTTTGTAAGTAATGGCAGATATTTCCTCACAGGGTAAGACTGGCTGCTTGGGGGTTGGCATTGACTGGGGAGAACTGAGGATAAATCAAATTTGACACAATCAAATAAATAGTAGTGAATAAATAATTTTCCAGAATCAGTCATTTAACCCAAAAGGCAACTTCTTGTAATGGGGAACAGAGCAGAAGTGTTCTCATGATGGGGAAAAAAGTTCACCTGGAATTAGCAAATGGAAGTCTTTTCCAGTTCTTAAAAAGAAAATCCTAAGACTCTGGAAGAATATATCAATATTTCTCACACTGTCACTACAATTTGCTGATTTGCTGCTTTCTTTTTCCCAGGGACAAAGTCCTTGATGATGTTCGCCGCCTAATCCAGCCAGGGGATGTGATAGGAAGAACTGTGTTTGATTTAGATGATCCCAGGTGGGTCACTCAAATGAGTGCTGCAACCAGGGGCACTGTCAGAGCTGTCACTGAGCTCAGTGTACTTGATCAGCTCTGATAAATGCAAAATAATGGGGCAAAGGCCCCACAGAGAAAATATCCAGGAGGGGTAGATTGTTTCTAGGTGACTCTGGGGAAAGGATCTGTGGAAGCCACAGGAGCAGGAAAACGTCAGAACTTTCAGACAGAACAAGAAAATCCATACATCAAAGGGGGGACTGTAGGTTGTCCCTGGATCTGTCTGCATTGCATGCAGTGATTTGGAGCAGAGAGGTGAAGACCAGTGCTGGGAGCTGTACTGACAAATCCATCTTCTCCACCCCCTGTGGCAGAATTTCCCATTGAGTGTCTGCACAGCTGGTGTCACAGGCTGTAGGTGTACCCTGTTTCATAAGTGTGACACTCACACAGAACTTCAAAAAAAACTCACAAACATCTGGCCTTGTGAAAGCTTTAAGCACTCAACTATGGTCTGTGAGAAGATGTACCCCTGGGCTGTTGAGAGGGTCCCAAATTTTAAAGAAATTGCATTCTCCAATTGCACTGGAGAACATTCTTTGGAGTAAATAAGAGGTGAGAGTTCGAGGTATGAGAAAGTTATGGAGTTGTTTAGTATTAATTTAAGGTTTCTAAGCAGTTGGAGAAAGAAACTTATAGATGAAGGAAGAGTAAATACAGAGTAATTGTATAAAGCAGCCTTCTGCAATTAATGAAATAATAGTAATAGTCCAGTGGGAAAGTAACTGGAATAAAAAAGCAAACATGGACAGTGACGAAAGAGAGTACTGGAAAAAGAAAATATGCAATTTGGAATTATTAAGCAGGAGTAGAGAGAAAAGCTACATTGGATAGGAAGGTTATGGATTTGCTCACCTCCTTCTTCCCAGGCTCTTGCTTATTAAAAAAAATTATTAAAGCAAATTTTAGCATAGAAAAGGTGCTGGGGAAGACTTGTCTTTAAAGCAATCTGCAAGAGGTGTCCTTGCTTTGCTTTCCAGCAGTCTCTCAAGCCCAGCTGCTCCAGGCTGTCTGACATTTTCCTCCAAGTTTGAGTCAGGAAACCTTCGGAAGGCGATCCAAGTGCGTGAGTAAGTACCCCTGCACAGAGGGGTCCCAGCCTGCCTGCTGCTGTGACCACAGCGTGGGATGGTGGCCTTCTCCTGGGTTTGCAAAGGGTCAGCCAGGGAAGCAGGTTAGGTGATGTGGAGGTTATTATGCCTTCTAGAACCTGGAAGTCATGGAAGGAACATGATTAAGAAAAGAGAGCTCAAAATATTTTGACTATTACAGTGTGAGTGTTTAATGGTGTTTGATGGTGATGCTCACAAAATATCAATCAATTTGACTGCATAGCCTGCTGTCAGCATGTTCAGTGGCAGACAGGGGGTGTTCATGGCCACTGCTTCCATTATTTTCCTTTACAGGTTTGAGTATGACCTAATTATGAATGCAGATGTGAACAGCAACCAGCACCACCAGTGGTTCTACTTTGAGGTCCGTGACATGAAGTCACTGGTTCCCTATCGCTTCAACATCATCAACTGTGAGAAGTTCAACAGCCAATTTAATTATGGTATGGGCCTTTGGGAAATTGGGGCAGCCTTCTCTTCACAAAAATATCTTTTTAATGCCATAAAGGTTTCAAACTCTGTGTCTATAAGGGAGACTGTAAATTCAATCTTATCTGCCCTGAAGTCCACTGAAAAAAATCACTTTAGATTTGTCAAGGAACCTTTGTCTATCCCCAGGAGGACTGAGGAGGAAACTGAATATTGAGACTTGGGGGAAGATTTGTGGGGGGAAATAAGCATGACAGTTGTGTTTATAGACCAGAACTGAAGAAGAATGGCACTAGGGTTGGGAGAGCTGGGGGGGAAAGATAATCAGTTGGAACTGAATGAGCAGCATAGGATTGGAAAGTACTTCTAAGATTTAAATAAATGTGATAATCCTCAAACAAATATTCATGATTCTTTGGTTTTATCTGGTAAGACATCTTTGAACCTACTGAAATTTCTGTTGATATTAATGGTGATACAAAAATCTGTTCCTCGCTGTCCTTGAGCTCCTGTCATGGTTCAGGAGGAAGGCAAAATTGTTCAGAAACAGGCAGGGCAAATCCCATCTTTCAATGCCCATTTTAGAAATAAATTATTTCTTGTGCAAGGAGACTGTGGATTGAATTCTTAGCTGGCATGGGCTGGGGGTTTTTTTGGTTTGTTTCCATGGAGCTCTGTTAATTTACACCAGCTCAAGACCTGGCTCAGAATGTTTAATAAGTCCATAATATTAGACTTTGCATTCCTCTGAAGCCCTGTGGCTACAGCCTCTAGCATCACCAGGACGACTCTCTGAGGATCAATGTACCTATAACAAACAGCCTTAGGAGTTGGAATCACTTGTATGTGTGAAACTGGCTGGATGAGTGATGTGACAAATTAAAAGGCATTTCCTCTTTAACCCAAAGGGCTGAAGTTCAAGCATTCATACAGACTCCAATTGAATTCTTTTGGTCATCTTGTACTGCTTACCTGAATTATCAAACAATTCAGTATGGTAGGAGCCTGAAGATGAAGGATGTTGATGTCCTATTTAAAACCACAATGCAATTGTTGATGTAGCCCCTAGTGCCTTCACTCTTGTAGCCAGAGATTCAAGCTAGTATTGGTGGAAGGTTGTTATATGCTAGTTTGGCTGTTGTCAGCATTTATAATCTAATTTTGTGTACCTGAAACTGCACATGACTCATATGTTCAAGCATGCAATGAATAATATATTTGGAAGAGAAATGTGAAAATACCATCTGGACTAAGGAGGGAGGCTAAGCCATGGCTTGCTTTTGGATGGCTTGTTTGTGGGCTTGGCTATTAACAATTCCTCTGTGGGTTCCTTTTGCTGCTCCGAGCAGTGAACCCCAGCTTTTCTGGCTTGGCTGAGCAAGGCTCACTACCCCTTCCAGCACATGCAGAGCATTTACACAGAGTAGCGGTAAGAGATGCTGTTTGTTTGTCACATTCCCTCTGCACCTTCCTGGGCTAATGCCCACACTCTGAGACAAAAAGCCTGCAGTTGTGATGTAGTGCCAAAGTGCCCTGGGTGGCAATTCTTTGTAGCTCCTGGTTACTCGTCTGGTTTGATTTTTCCCATTTGCTCATGGTTAGTTGGCACTGTGTGACTTTCAAATCAGCAGAAAGGATTTTTAATGAAATAGTTGTGGCCAGGAGCAGAGCAAGACAGGAGGCACAGCCTCCACCTCTCTTCTTCCCCCTCTTTCACAAACTTATTCTGCCATGGGAGATTTTATCAGAACCCTGATTTCAGTTTGTTTTCTAAAACTGAGCACTTCCACAGGGGAAGTAAAAAGGAAAATCTGATTTTTTTTTTGTTGTTGTTGTTGTTCTTAATTAGAGTGTGATGGCATACTAGTAGCAACCATTACTCTGAGACAGTTCTGTGTGTGAGTCCTTTGGAGTCTGAGAGAAGGGCAGAAGCTGACATTCAGGATACCAAGAGCCCTGCAGACAGAGCCTCACATCCCTTCCCTGATCAGCTGGGCACCTGGACAGCCCTGTATGTCTAAAAATTCGTGGTGGCCATGTCCTGGTACCAAACAAAGAATTGCCTCTTGTACAAAACTCACAGCAGTGGCTCAGAAAACAGCATGTAGAGGCTGTTCCTGGCTGTGGTGAGTTAGTGCTGCCCCACAGCACAGCCCAAGATGAGCTGGAAAGGCATTGCTGCTGATCCTTCCTGGCTCCAACTGTGCTGGGGAGTTTAACAAAGGAAGAAGGGAACTGAATAGCTGTCAATACAGATGTGTCATCAGTATTAATGGTTTTCAAGCATCACCTACCCCCAGCACAAGAACAGCCAAGAGAAGGCTTGAGGGGCAGCTTATCAACATGCAAAAATACTTGGGAGGGCATTTTTCTCTTTCTTAAATGTGCTTTCACAGAAGTGGTGCCAGCATCATTGCTGGGCTCAGTGTGGCTGTGCTGGGCCCACTGGAGCTGCTGACAGGAGCCTCCCCTGCAGCCCCTGGCCAGGGATGCCCTGTGCAGAGAGCTCAGCATCCTCACCTGCCCTAAAGAGCAGGCAGGTGTGTGAAATTGATACAAAAACTCCCTGCAGATGGGCTGCCTTCATGGAACTGTGAGTGATGGGCATGCAACTCAGATCAGAGCAAGCCTTACCCCTCAGGGCATGAAATGGTAATATTTTGGAGGTCAGGAAGAAGTCATGCTCTGGGATAATGCAGTACAAAGATGGATGCTGTTGTTATCAGCATTTATGATGCTTAGGTGTTATTTAGGACTAATAGTAAGTTTAAAACCTTGAAGTTTTTCTTGCGGATTTGAAGGCAGGGTTCTGGATGAAACACAGATCTCTGATACTATGGTAAGATTAAGAGTTCAATAATAGTGCAGCCAAGCATAAAATATTAGACTAACCAAATTACTGATCTTGTTGATGCCTTGATTCATATTATTTTCTTTCCCTTCCTCTGTCTGTAAACAAAATGGTTTGCAAAGGCCAGAAGAATAATTTATTTTTTAATAAACTACATTCAGCTCATTTCTTCTGGAGGGACTTTTTGTACAGATGTGGCCGTCTCAGAACAAAACACAGGGCTTTGGGAATGTATTTGCTCTGCATAAACTATCAGCAGGGAGAGCACAGACAAAATAATGATGCTTCTTCCTTAGCCTTTTCCTTCCCACTCCTGTCTTTTCCAGCCAGGGAAGTCACACCACCTGAAACTCTTGTTTTCTGTAGGCATGCAGCTGGTCATGTACTCGGTGAGGGAAGCTCTCCAGGGCAGGCCTCGCTGGATCCGGGCAGGCCAGGAGATCTGCTACTACAAGTAAGTGCACTTTTGGTGAAGAATTTGTGCCTTCCTTTCTCTACTGTTTCACTCATGTTAGCTGCACTGATGTCATGAGCCCCTTGCCACCAGTGCCCCCTATTTTAAATGTCTCTAAATCAGTGCTGGCTCAATGTGTTGTGTGCTTCCACCCTCAGACAACAGCCACAAGGGAGATCTCAGTTTTACATGCCAGGAAATATGCAGAATTCCCTTGCCCAGGAGCAAGGAGAAGGAATGGAGAAGTAGTGTCATTTTTTACCCTTGCTGGGAAGAAAAGAGCTGGATGGGATCATTGTTTTTTCCTGTTGCATACTCAAACTTTTGTAACAGGAGCTGAGGAGCCAAAGAATGGGTTGAACATACAACAGTGGTGTAAAGGAATCCTGACAAGCTCAGTGCTGATATTTGTACAAGTTCCCTGTTTCAGGTTGCTTGTGCAGTGTGCCAGAGCCTCAGAAGAAGTTGTCCCAATTTCTGTTGGATTTTCTTTTTTTTTTCAAGGCTGGGGGGGGGTTGAAGGCGCAGATTATCCTCTCCCAGCCTAGCATCTGTCTACAGCAATTTGAGTAGCTATTTTATTTTGCTTCAAGTACTCTTTGCTGGCCTTCATGCACCTGACCTTAACCTTTTATACCTCAAGAGCTCGCATGTGTGGCTCAGTGTTTTCCCTTTACATGCCTGTAATCTCTGACTTCTCTGAGTATGGGCAGACTCTTCATGCTGGATACCATTGCAGTGGCTTCCCATATCATTAGCAAGGCAGCTATTGTGCAGTGATTAAACAGCAGCTGACTTCCAAGATTAAGCCATGATTGTGCAATTAAGCCTGTAATCAGATTCTTGTTCAGAATATATGAGAGAATTGTTTTATTGATTTGGAATATTCTGTGTTTTCTAGCTGTACATTGAATTATATGTCAACATAATCATCTAGGATAAGTACTTGTTGTCTCATTTTTTCTGTGTTCCTGGTTCTCACATATTTTTGTATATACAAGAATGTGCATGCACACACATAAATACATTTTCACCTGTAGTGAAACTTTAAAGTTTTTATTTCGGTGATTATAAAAATGTTTCTCAGTCATTAGAAGTTGTAGCAGGGAGGAATGTGAAACTAGTGTGGTGATGGTTGGAGCTGCTCAGGCTTTGTCTCAGAAAAGAAGGAGATGGGATTGCTACAGTGATACTGTACTGCCAGCATTTTGGGGAAAGAGCTCACTTTAATTCCACTCTGGTCACAGGTATCCTAAGGTGAGGCTGCATATTTTGAAAGGAATCTCATCCAATTATTTTTACCAGGAGTTATTAATAAATATGGGAAAATAGTGATACACTTTCAAAAAACAGAGGAACAGGCATGCCTTTAATTGCTCTTGCAGCAGGGCCTTTACTGAGACACCTCTGAGCTGAATGAAGGACAGGGGGAGGAAAAGCTCGTTGGTGAGATGCCTGTGTGAAGCAGGTTGGCTGATCTTTGGCATTCATCTTCCCTGTGGATGGGGTAGTTTACTCATAAAGATGAATGTTGTGGCACAGCTGTGTCACTGTGTTCCTTTCTCATATGTCTCACTAGAGTTTTTATGTTGTGGAGAATATTAGCAGAGTTCTTGTCAGAAAGTAGCTGAGTGACACTTCTGCTCTATTTTATTGTCTCTGTGAAATGACAGGATACACCCATGATAAACAGTTGCCGTTACAATAAGATCATCTAATTCTCTTGCTGTCTTGACAGCTTTTATGCACTGAATAATATTCCTTTCTGGCAAATTATTTAAGGAATAAAGGCAGCTGAGTGTTGCATTGGTGACAATGTGCTTGTGCCTTTGGTTTCATGGCTCATTCTAAGCATATTATCTAACCTCCAGCTTTTTCAGACAGTAGTCAGGTCAGATAGCTATGAGGCACATGGAGTGTTTTGTTCTCACACCAGCACTAAAAACTTGGCTGTTTAGTGATTATTACCATGTCAGAACTAGGTCTTCTCTTTTCAGCATTTTATAATCACATTAGGTGAAATAAACATAACATTAGCAGGTCACTCCTCAGCTCTAATGGTATCTGTGAAAGGGTGAGGCATCAGCATCACTCTGAGAGCAGCTGGCCTTTGCAGTATGACTGAACACCTTAATGGCACAATGGCTGGGGGAATATTCTGCTTCAGCTGGGATTCTGCCTGAAATATTGGCAACAAAAATATCTTAGCATGGACTTGCCCTTTAGAAAGGAAGTTGTGTTGTGCATTTTCTGCTTTCCAATGTGGCAGACCCCAAAATAAGAGCCATGCCCAGTAAATTGTTAAATACTGCTTTTTTGTGGTATGAATCAGGGTATTACTGAAGAGTCTTGCACTTAATAACCACACTTAGAGATGTAAAGAAGTCCAGACATGGAAAATGAGGACACCAAAATCCAGGTGGGAAGTATTTTGGACCAAGGGACTGCATCAACAGATTAGAAGAGAGAAACATTTTACTTTCCATTTAAATTCTGTTTTGAAGTGGCCCAGAAATTTGGGATATTGATACTTTCTTTGGCCATTTTAGTCTAAGCTGAAAATGCCATATTCCATCATCTAACAGTACTAAAATACATTTAATACTAAATTAGTAATTTAGTAATAGAATACATTTAGTATTTTACAATACTAAATGCTGCAGATAGGAAGTATAAAGATCAGATGGCCAAGAGATATTGCTCCTGAATCACTTGGTGCTTTTGAATTCCTCAGTTACCACCCAGCTCCTTTCCTGCCTGCATCTTTGTCCAAGCTGCTTCACCTGTCTGTTTCCCCCCCTACAAAGGGTGGAAAATTAGAGTCACTTATCTGCCACCCAAAGAATGAAATAGATAAATGGGGAAGCATGTTTTAATCAGATAGTGTTTGCAAAGATTTTTTTTTAAGCTCAAAAAATGATCTTGCAGAGTAAGAGATAAGTAGTATTATTAATTAACTCTTCATCACTGCTATGCTGGAAATATAACACTTGTACATTTTTTTTTCTGAAGGAGAGCAGCAAGCAAAGTGATTTCATTACTACAAAGTGATGAAAGGCACAATAGATAACAGCTTACATGTTCATTGAGAAAACTACACTTGGGTCTCTTTTTTCTCTCCAATAAGCAGTGTGTTGGCTTCTAGAAAGCATGAGAGACTTTCAACGTGTTTTTGAAAGAGAAGACAAGGTAGTGGGAACCAGATGTTGCCAGAATCTTTTATTCCTTTCCTTTTCTTTGCTTATTACTTTAGGCTCCATGCTGGTATGGTAAGGTATTGTGATGAAAAAGTGGTGAGGAAGTAAAAAGCATCAATCTGGTGGAGGAAAAAGGAAGCAATACAGTTATTTTGGCTTGACAGCAGTAGGAGAGTGAGGCACATAGGAAAAATGTTATTTTTTTAGGTTTCTTTAAAAAATATTCAGAGCTACTGCTTTGTATGACGGATTGTGAGGAGACCAGATTATATACAGTAAAAGTACATGATCGTTTACACTGCTTACACACAGGGGTTTTTCTTTTCAGCGCAAGAGTGAAGAATATTGAAGCCTCCAAAAGCTACCTGTAAACTTGCTGCTACTGCCAGATAATGGATTAAAGCAGGTGTCAAGAAGTGATTCACAAGTCTGGGAGTATCTTTTCTGGGTGGGTGGTTGTGTGGACAGCGGAGATGCTGGGAACAAGGATGAAATGTACTGCTGAGCAGGGCTGTGAGAGCATCCCTGCCCTGGGGATGGTGTCTGAGAAGGCAGGAGTGAGCAACGCTGAACTACCAGTGCAGCATCAAGGTCAGAGGTGTCTCTTGCTGCAAAACCCCTGGGTTGAAGTGGCCATTTCAGGGAGGAGAGGACACTTGTCTGCAGAATTACAGACTACAGAGGGAGAAGCCTTTACTCTGGAGTGCTAGGGACAGGAGGGAATAATGTCTGTGTGAGATATTTAGGCAGTATCAGCAAAGACCTGCTTCCTCCCACACCTCTGACTCCAAATGTGAACTTGGAGGGGAGGACTTGGAAGAATTCAGCACTTTTGTGGCCACACTTTATGAATAAGGTGATCTTATCTTCCAAGTGACACTTAGACTAAAGGCCATGGAGGTGAGCATTTTCCTTCTGCACCATGGAGGAAATGGTTATTAAGTATCCTTTAGTGTCAAAATTAGCAGGAACTATATTAAATGTCATTGTTCTGACTTCAAAAAGATACCAGACTTTAACCCTTGATCCAGTGAAATACATATATAAATGCTAAGTTCATGTTTCTATGTTAGTGAGTTTATTGAATTTTTTTCCTCTTTTTTCCCAATATTAAGGAGCTTTATTTTTAAAAGAAATGTTGGGGTAAAGGGTTCAACTGAGAATAAAATCATAGGCTTTTCAGGTTGCTGCTGTGACTCTGTTCCTGCACTATCTATTGATCCAGTTGGTATCACTCACCCCACATGTTCCTAAATATTGAATTCAAGTGAAAACCTAGCAGCACTGTATTGTCTCTCCCTTATGAAAAAGAGCTGATTATTTTGGAGAATTTGACAAGAATAATTATCCTTTCTCTCCACCCCTTTGAATAAAAATGAACAACAGCAAAATAAACTAGTATTGTAAAATTCAGGAGTTGAAATTGCATCTTTTGGTTGCCTCTTCTTTTTTGCATTTTAATGCAACATTGATGATAACATTTGTCAAAGAAACCTCACAGTCCTTCAGAATTGGAAGGTTTGGCAACAGCATAATTGGTGCAATGTGGGAAAAATATTGTTCAAAATGTACTTATGGATGCAATTTGCTCTGAGGCTTCTCCCTAAAGTGCATGATTTGTCACTTCATCTCTGCTGAAAGAAAACTTTCCTACTCAGCCTGAAGTCATCTCTTCAGCAGAATAAGTCTCCTGCAAGAGATCAGCTCCTGACACTAGGCTGAGGAGCTTGGTGTAAGATTTGTAGTTTTGCTGAAGGCAGTGTCAAGGATTTGTGTGCTCTTAGACCTTGTCAGTGCTGACCAGCCTCACCCAGAGCTCTGCTGTAGTGAGGCTTCAGCCCAGCCACTGCTGTGACCCTGTTGCTGTGTCCCTGCCTTGCTGCACATCCTGATCCTGGCCATGAAGTGACCTGCTGGTTGGACCCAGACCTGCCTCATCACCACAATCTTGTCTGATGATCTGAACCTGTGGTTGAGTTCCTCTGCTGTCCCCAGGCATGGCCTGATCAGGTGTGTGGGACATGACCCTGCCTCAAGAGTTCTCTGCTCTTCTGGCTTCCATGTCAAACTCGGTTCCCCATATTTTAGGGAGAAGCTAGTCCTCACTGTTCCCTGAGAGGGAGAGGTTCAAGCCTTCAAAAAAAGAGGGGTACAAAGAAGAATTTTTGGTTTGGTCACAACTGGAAAATCTGTATGAGGTGACTTCTCTTTCATACCTGGTCTCTACCCAAACCCATTCTTCTTTCTTCTCAGCAAAGTGCCTTTGATTGTATCTGAAATATTTTAATGTATGTCCTATTTATTATTTATTTTTATTCCTGCAGTATGACTCTTCTTCCTGTGGTGGAACTGAATAGTTGGTTTGGTAGGGTATTCATATTTTCTAAATCTCCAGGCTTTTTGTGGAGTATTTTCTTATGGCATTGTTCAGGGCTGTGAATAGGAACCTGCCTCTCTGAGCAAGATAATGTGGATATCTGAAGAAATACAGCAATTTTAGCTGAATGCATAGTTTAAATATGTCTGGACTCTGCTATATGAGCTACTATTAGCTGACTGCTTCTTTATTTGCATCTTAACAAAACGAAGCATTAATGGATTTTATTTTCCTAGGAGAGTGCTCCCATCCCTCAGCAGCACATGTCTGGCAGTTCTGCCTCCTAACTCCCTGCTGGGCTTTGTGTCCTGTTGTGTGGATGCTCCTCTGAATGCTTATTTTTTCCATGGCTGCTTCAAATGCACATCCAGAAGTGAAAAGCATTTACTTTCCTCCTCTTTCTCTTCTTCCAGAAACCACTACCGCTGCAGTGCAGCTGCAGGAGGAGGCATGAGGGGAAGGTTCTACTACACCCTCACCTTCAGCATCAAGTTCCCTCACAAAGATGATGTCTGCTACCTGGCCTACCACTACCCCTACACCTACTCCACAATGATGGTAATGCTGACATGTCTACCTAGATAAGATAATGGCCCTGACAGGTTGGAGCTGCTTGGGTATGTGTAGGTTTTAAGATGACACAGAAGATTAAGCTCACACCTCATCCCTGGGAGTGCTCAGAGTCAGCTTGGATGGGGCTTTGAGCACCCTGGTCTGGGGGAATGTGTCCCTCTCCATGGCAGGGGGTTGGAATGAGATGATCCTTAAAGTCTCTTCCCACTGAAACCATTCTGTGATCATGATGGTGTCACTGCCTTGTTTACAGCTGCAGCTCCTGACAGCTGTAAAGCCCAGAATGCTGTAGAAGAAAAGAAATTTCTCAGTGGGATAGCTGAGCACAAACCATTAGTGCTTATACCAGTCATAATACAGACCAAAGATGTCTCCTCCCACTTGGGGTGGCAGGATCCTCCTCCTGAAGGGCTGGGAAGCAGGGGGCTAAACCTAATGAGAGCTCAGGTGTGCTGCCTGATCTCCTCCTGACACAGGGCAGCAGCCCAGCTTTCAGAGCTGCACCCAGCATTGCCAGGCTGCTGGACCTCATCTGATACTTTACCAGCTCTTTCCTCAGTGTCAGTAGGAATTTGTGACACTCCCACCAGTGCCATCAGTACAGAAACTAAAAGAATACAACTCCACAGCATAAATTTAATTATTGAGTTATAACAAGTTTTTTTACTGGGCACAGGCTTGTTTTCCACAGCCTCTTCTGTGGAAAGGGGTGGATGGTAAGGGAATTTTCTGGGAACTGCATCCAATGTGCTTCCTCTATAATTGATGTAGAGGAGATAGGATGAAAGAAATGAAATGAATAGTTCTGGGAGTAGCTTTGCTTTGATGCTAAAGATGAGAATAATGTTACTGCAAATGAAACCACACAGTTCCAGTAGATCAGTTTCCCTCCCTTCTGACCTCAGTTTCCATTATCAGCACATTTTGTTTTGGGCAATACATGCTGGTGTGGGTTGGTGGAGGTCACGGTGTTTTTCTAATGATATCAGTTTGCTATAAGCAGATATTGGAGGCTCTGCTTTCCAGGGGACAGTGTCCTCCCCTGGGACTCGCTGTGCTGCCTGGCACACCAGCAGAGTTAGGCTTATTCATTCCCACTTCAGAAAGCCTCTTGTCAACTGGTTTGCATCCCATTACAGACATTCAAAGAAACTGCTTCCAATATCTGGAAGAAGGCCAGTCCAGCCTTCAGTCCAGAACATGTCTGGCAGCTCGCTTCTCATCACTTCCTCACCAGTTACTCCTAAAGTTCCATGGGGAAGAGCGTGTGCTCCAGTGGTGGGGTCTGACCTTGAAGACACAAATATCTACAGTGTGCAGGGTAAAAAATACATGCAATGCTGAAGAATTGGTTGGAATTATTCACCACCATACATTTCACATAAATGCAGTGCTGCATCATTATTTTACTGTTATTGATTTCTATCTTTTGCTGGCACAAAGCAAGAGAGACTTGGAGAGTTTGTGTGCTCTGGTAGTGACTGAATATCTCACCTGCTCCTGAGAGAATAGAGATGAAAAAGATGTTATTCCTAGGCTTCCAGTACCAGGTCTTTAAGTATTTCACTGTCTCTTCAAATAAATTGCTCATTGAAGTTAAAGGGAGCTTTGCCCCAGGAAAAGTTTAAATGAACTCGGACACAATAAGGACCATAAAGTTTGGCAAATAGGAATTATGGGTGGAAAAGGCTGATAGATTGTCATGTCCAGCTCTAGCTAAAGCAAAATCACTACTTCTAATAATTCTGCTTGGGCTAATTTAAAATATCAAGTGATGTACTATGCACATCTCCATTTTCCTTTTATTTCCACAGTAAATAAACAAAATCAGGTTTGTGCATCAGTAGATTGCATTTTAAAGCATTTGTCCACTGGTGAAATGTGTTGGTTTTACATATCAATAATAAATTAAAACTGATTATGAGCCCAAGGGCTCAATTAAAGACATAGTGCTTTGGGGAAGAAGATAAACTTGTATATGGAGTTAATAATTTGAAAATGTTTTAAAATATCATATATATTTAATGGTTATAGGCATATTTGCAGGAAACATTGCAGAATCCTATTTGAACTGTACTCTGCAGTTCATTACTTCTTGTCCATTAGTAATTACATTCCTTTTATGAACAGTAATTTATCTATTTTTATATCACAGTATTAATTGTTTTGATATCTAGCTGAAATCTCTGTGGTAGCTATACCCAATTAAGTTTCACTGGGTACCAGGAACATAAGTAAATGATAGTATTGAGTTTTCTCTAATCTATGTGAGATTGTTAAATGAATTTAATAATTGAATTTACTTTATAGAGCTGTATTTTAATTGTTTTATAACATAGCTGACTGTAAACTTCAGTTCTGTATTTACATAGCTCTATTTGAATGCTGGAAAAGCAGTCTGAAACATGGTGAGCTCCAAGATTTGATAACCAGGAATGTGGTGTCCCATAAGTGTAGATTAAAATTTAACCCTGACTGGAAGAGACAAACCATCACCCTGTGAGGGTCATTGAGTGAACTGAAGGGTTTTTGTTAGGATAAATGTGCTCATTGCACTTATTCCTACCAACTGGGAGGCAACTGGTGTTCCACAGCACTCAGCACCACCCCACAGGGGCATTGCTCACACTCACCAGCCACAATGCAAGCAGAGAGCCACACTTCATCTACTGTGTGGGTGACAAGTGGCTCCATGTCTAATGAGACGATCAGAATTCGTTCCAAAAAGTCTTTCTTCTAAGTTGCCAGTTCTTTTCCTCAAATTTCTCAAGAAGCTGTTGGTCTTTAGAATTATTTAAAGCTGTCATAAACGATGGGGGATGGGGAGAAAAATCTCCCTTTATAAATAACTTCTTGGACAGACACTCTTCAAATTTCCCACTGCTGATTGTACAAAATGTTGTTTCGATAGAAACTTTTTGGCTGCCTCTGATATGGAGTTGTCACTGAGTTTCACTGGCATGTGGTTGACAGCTAGGCAATCAATTCTGTAAATGTTCAAAAGTGGTGAGTTTTCTCACGTTTCTACAAAATCCTTATTAAAATATAAAGAATAAATGCTTCCCTTTTGGATTTTCATGTATGCATAGAAATTTCATTATGCACCTAGGAACTGTTCAGGCAAATTCATAGAATGGTTTGAGCTAGAAGGGACATTTAAAGGTCATCTGCTCCAACCCCTCTGCAATAAAAAGGGACATCCTCAAGTAGATCATGATATAACAATAAATATTCTGTGAAGCTTCAGTGAAGTGGGATGCATTGTGAATGGCTTGTGCATATTTGTGGGATGTAAAAGGTGCTGATACTAACTGGCAGAAGAGGATATGGGAAGTTAACAAGATATGAAATTAGTATCAAAAATAATATACAACTACTGGAATAAAATCAGGTTTTATAGACTGTGAACTCCTTTATAAATCTGCTTCCTTGCTTCTTTTTCAGTCCCATCTTGATATCCTGGAACAAAACAGGAACCCTAAGAAGGTTTACTGGAGGCAGCAGACACTCTGCCAGACTCTAGGAGGAAATCCTTGTCCACTGCTCACAATCACTGCCATGCCTGAATCTAAAAACAGAGATGACCTGGAGCAATTCTGTAAGTAGCCCAACAAAGCATTAAAAAAGATGCTGGTGAGTTGTGCTCATGTCAGCAGTGGCAACAACAACCTCTTTTGTGAGCAAGCTGATTTTCTTGTCTTTCTCATTTTGAAAAAGGGAATATAAATATGAGGAATAGCCAATTATGATGAGCTTTAAAAATTACAGGTTTGCATGGAAGAGGGAGGAGAACTGGTACCATTTTGTACTTCTAATTTCTCTTCAAAAACATTTGAAAAGCTCAAAATAAAATATCTCCTAGAGCAAAAAACTGTGAAACAACTAATCCAACAAGATTTTTTTTAATATATTTTATGTTTTCTACTAAAATTTTTATGTATTTTGAATTCTTAAATTTGGGGGTGGGGAAAAAAAAACAAAACCAAGATAACTCATTCCAAGCTGGACCAGCAATTGAAATCTTCTGGTGAAATTCCAGCTCATGCAGTGTGCCCAGTAGATCCATCTGGACACAATATTTCCCTTTGCATTCTGAGACCATACTGATTATGTACTTTTTAATAGTAAATATTATAATTGCCATTTTATATTAAGAGCTGATTATTTTTCATTGTGAGAGCCAAAGATTGCAACCTTCAGTGGCCTTGATGAACAAAATTAAGATATGCATGTTTCTGTAACTCAACAGCAAGTGATAATTTTCTGATTAGCATCACATTTGGTTAGATTTGATTTTAGAGCCTAAATCATTAACTGCTTACATGTAGGTTAATTTTTTTTTTCTGAAATCAGAAACAAGGTGTGCAGTGATTTTTTTCCTCTTCAAACATACCACAGGTTGAGACCTTTGAGGCTTGTGGATATTTAAATTGTCCTAAGATATTTTTAGATATTAAATGAATATTTTTCATTACCCTGCTTAGGTACTAGGCTAGAAGAATCTAAAGGGATTCTGTGACATGAACTACAGTTCTTGTTGCAAACTTCTAAACTAAAATGGACTTGAAATATAAGAGTTGGTGATAGTTATTGCTCTCTCTTTTGGTCCTGGTTTGGAGCAGAGTGACTGCAGCTATGCTGACATTACAGTGTAATCATCTACAGTTCATACCTTTTTACTGTAATAACTTGATTACAAATCCAGCTTTTACCCTGGATTAGCAAATTTATATCAGGAACATGCTTTTCTTCGTTGAAATACTAAGACAAAATAGCCAAATACAGGCTACATGGGGAATTTATAATGTGCATGCACAGATTTAATTGTGGCTGTCCATGCCTGGGTTGAAGAGAGAATTCCTGCCCTTAAGCACTTTTTTTCCCATTATAATGATGACTTAGAAAACCAGTAGGTGAGAGCTGGGGAGGGGGAGTTTGGCTACCTAAAACAGCCTTTGGCACATGGCAGGTGATCACCTGGTCAGATGTTATTTGCTGATGCCTCATGGCAGAAGGTCTCAAGGGGGCAACTGAAGGTAATTTGGAATATTTTATTTGAGGATTGGAGCCATCTGGAAGAGGCATGCAGTGAATGAGGTTTTCTGCCCAAGTAAGAAGCCCTTTCCAATGGTGGTATAAATCTAAAACTGAGCTAATATTTGGATTTATCTAAGCAGGGGCTTGGAGTGAGTCAGTCACACAAAGAGTCACTATCCTAAACATTGGGCTTTTGCTGTTTTGGTTTTGAAAAGACTTTCTGAAGGGAGTGTTTTGTGATAGGAAAGGAAAAAAAAATCAAAAAAGTATTGAGCTATAAATGTGATCGTGTTGGGAGGCGTGGCCATTTTCTGGAGCACTCAGAGTATGTTAGATTCCTTCTTGCAGTGTTAGAAGAGAGCCTGGCAGGTTTTTAAAGGTTGTTACCTGTCTACATAGACAAGGCTTGGTTTGCTTATTCAGCCCAGGTTTGCTGAAAGACTCATAAGGCATCTATGAATAATTTGGACATATACTTTTTCCAAATGCTTCAGACTGTTTAATATACTACACCTAGATTCAAATCCCAATTATGTGGCTTAAGTCCTCTTTATTTTCAGTAGAAGTAAATATCTCCTGCCTTGTGGTAGTACATGAAGCCAGTGGGAGCTTGTAGCTCTCCTTGAAATGCCATGAAATCCTGTGCCACTCAGCCTTTCCTCTGAAGCCTTGCACTACAATAAGATTGCAGACTTCCAATCCATGAGCCCATGGAACACAATCAAAACAGAACATGTAGAAACCCCATTTCTCCAACTGAAAGAGAAGTTTTTTTGAGGGAAAGACCTTGTCAAGGCAACACAGTTTCACTCAAGTTTTCAAGACTGCAAAAGTAAACACCAATACTCTTAAGTTATGAAAATATTTATTGTTTTATCAAGTGGAAGAACAGCAAGGCAGCACACCATGTTTTATGCTGTGGGGATGCCTGTAGGCAAATCTGAATAATCATGTATGTGCTTATTTTGTTTGAGTAGCTTGGATAATTATGGCTTTTGGGGATGCACTTAGTCTAATTTGTGCTGCTTTGTGTTGCTTTGATCAGCAGTTACTTCTCAGTTTCCTCATTTTGTATGACATACCCATCTTTCTGTGAAGTGTTTTGGCTGATGGAAGGACCTGTTTGTCAATGTTTTCCATGCTAAAAACATAACTCAAGAGCAACAACTTAAAGCAAAATATGAAGAGACCAAAGGGTGGAGGATTTCCCTGCAATAAATCCCATGGCTTTGTGCAATCTCCATGGGTATTTCAGCTTGAGAAGGAATGTGGAGCTCCAGCATTGGGGAATTTGGCACATAGATGAAAATGGACAGCCGTTGTTTTTCCTTCTGGTTCAGGCCAATGCACATTTTTCATGAGCTAGAGTAATTTTGATTTCCTATCACACTTATGTTGCCTTAGTTACATGTGTTAATCTGTACCTTGAGAGTTTCTTTTCAGCATTGCCCATGGCACAAATTTCACCAGGTCTTTGTGGCTCCTGCACATGATACTACTGAAATAATCTAAATCTTTCTCAAGTATAGACAAGTAGGGATAAGGAAACATCACAAATAAAGAGGCACTGGGTGGGTGAGGAGTGTACTGGGGAGGCAGCAGGATCAGCCTGGTAGGAGTGCAGTGGGAAGGAGTTATTTTGTATTGGAAGTGCCCAGGGAGAGTGAGGGCATGGCATCCTCTGTGTCAGCTGTGCTTTACTTCCCTTCCTCAACTCTTTCAGATTGCTCTTGTCAAGCTCTTGATTAATGTAGTCCTAGGATGGTTAAATTTGTCTGAGTTAAATTTATTAATGTGCACCTTGTTAATAGGAAGAACAAGCCATGCTGAAGGGAAGAAAAATGGGCTACTTTCTTTCTTTCATTATGCCTTGTTTGTGTGAGGCTTTGATACTCACTTTAGGCTCCTTTCTCCTTCTACTCTTTATATCTGCCCTTTGTATGATGGTGGTGTACTGAATAATTTTTATTAAATGTTCTGTTCTGAAATTGCTATGAAGACAGAAAGAAGTGAGGTGGGAACTCTTTGGCTTCCTGGGCTTTTTCTCTCATTTATGCTCTCATTCAACTTCTAACTCAGCTACAATCAGCACAACCTCCACTCAAACTTGATCCATGTCTGTAAGCACCTGGGCTGGTCAGTGGTCCCTGCTGGGCTTTGCAGCTGCATAGACTTGAACAAATTGAGACTGAGAGGGACTAGCTTGTTTTTTGTGGTTGCTGTTTAACTTTAAACTTGCCCTTCCTGCCATCAGATGAAGAAGACTCAGCATCGAGCTAGTACGGATTTCTTCAATACCCATTCTAAGTGCAATATCCTCCATGGTCTTGATATAAAGGTAAAATAATTTTGGCTGTGTGTGGGTGACTTTATTTCTGGCCAAGTTAGGTCTGTCTGATGAGAGTTAAAGGGACTTTTGAAGGGAGAAAAATTCCCAACATCTTTCAGAGCACTCACAAATGAATGCAGAAACAAGGGCAATGATAAAACTTCCAAATCTTGGTGCCAGTTCCTTGCTTGATGAATTAATAGGTGTCTGCAGAGCTCTGATTTTCTTGTTTGCCATGCACACAGAACCCAGTGAAGGCAGTGTTAGCTAGCAGCATGTATGTGTACTCAGTAATAGTTTGCAAACTCTTAATTCACAGTATTATTTATGCATGTGTGCAGTGTGTAACTCCACTAAACTCCCTGGCAGACAGCTGAGCAGATCCTGCAAGCAGTAGGATACTGTTGTGACAGAGCAAATGGACAGATTAACTCTTCAAAGAAGTGTAAGGAAAATATTCAAACACTGATTGCACAGGCAATGATAAAATTGTCTTCTCGTTAAGAACTAAAGGACACTGATATGTTGCTAATGTTAACAGAATGGTGGAATTTAAACCACCAAAAGCAAAACGATTGGTCAGGAACAAGCAGTGTACACTCTACACTGCCATGTGAGTGTTTTTCAGGAGGTGTTTCCTGGCTGTACCCTTAGTTGGGGTGGATTTGCCATCACCTTTAGTCAGAGAAGGGAAGGAGCAGGACACCTCTGAGACGTGATGATGTAGTGTAGGTGCCTTTCTGGTTAGTGCTAACACAGAGTAATGACTCAAGCAGCCCCAAAGGAATTGCACAGCTCTCTTCATGGCTGGTTGTACTGTTGTCATCCCCATTAATAATAGTGATTATTCAGAGTGTTATGTGTATTTGAGAGTCAACACATCTAATGAGTATTCCTTTAGCCGTGGGTAGCATTATAGATCTGAATTCTGTGGCTTAAAGTTAACCCAAATTGTCCCGGAAATTTAGAAGTAGAGGAGAGGGAAATTAAACAAAAATGACACTAGAAAATGCATTTGCATCTGTAATATCTGTCACTTTGAGTTGCTCTTCTGTCATCATATGTCCTCTTTATGCATGGCTGAGGAAACCATTATGAATACTGTCAAAAAAAGATAATGACACCTGCTTATTTTAAATGTAGTCTCCCAGGGATTTGAAGCACATTTTTTGTCTAGGCATGTTTCTGAAGAAGGATTGAGTAATGTTTTTGGGATAGATATGGTAGGATGC